ACAGCGCAGAGTTGTTGTTACAAGTAGTTTCGTTGGCTACAGATTTCAGCGGGTCAACTTTGGGTTTCCAAAATTAAATACTAAGTGGTGCTAATTATGCAACATGGGACTGTGATTAGCTTCACAAAAAGTTACTCAAATGCTAACTATACCTTTGAACCTCTTTAAAGTTCAAATGGTTTCAAAAGTACAGTATATTTTTTGGTTCCATATGTGGCACAGTGTGTTGTTCCAAGTCAGTTGCAAAAATATATATTATCGTTATATTAGAAGTGCCCAGATAATTTAAGAAGAATGATCACAAACACTTATAGAAAAAGAAAAGGATGAACTTATTATCCATTAAGGTAAAGAATTTAATTTTAAAACAAAAGCAAAATAGTATTTTGGAAGAGAAATTCTCCATACTAATGAGTTCACCAAACACCCAGAATGTGCCTTATAATACAAGAACCCCTATTAAATCTACATCAAATACCAGAGCTAATTTAAGTGTGGGTGGTTTTTTTGTTTTTGTTTTTTTGTTTTTTTTTATGGATACTAACTTGTCTCATTTGGCAAGAGGTCTAAAACTAATTTTCATTTTGGTAGAAAAAATTTGAATCTAAATGAAGAAGTATTCAAAGAAGATGCTAGAAAAACATGATTTGACTGTTTTATTACAATTTAAGTTCAAGCATATGGATTCCTAGTGTAAGAACAGGAGTTAAAATTCAGTCGAGTGCCGAAAGCATATAAAATATGGGCTTTCCTATTCCACTAAGGGTAAAACTTGACTCTTACTAATAACTGAAATGTTACAGAGGTAGGTATAATTTAAAAATAAATCCTTAAACCACACATTCATAAAATTTAGCCTAGTAAGTAATGCTCTGTGCAAAGAAAAAAATTCATGCTTAATCTAGGAGTATTCATCTTATGTCTTTCTTATTAGATTCGACTATTCTAATTTAATAAACATATATTTAATAAATGCAGAAATCTGTGACAAAGCAGCTTTCTTCACCAACAGCCTTCTAACTTGAGCCTTATCACCCTTCACGCTTACACCAGTGTTCCTATTAGTGAACCCGCACAGACATGCCTGAGTTTTTAAAACGAGAGTATCCACACTCCATCTGGCAGATCCCAACGCACAAACCAAAAATGTCCATGAGCATCCATGGGGACCTTTTGACACCGAAACCCGCCTAGTCAGTGCCTCAGGAGGGCTGACTCGGAGCCCGCAGGAGCACGACTGCCCTGGCGCTGGTCTCGTCTTCCCTGCATCAGTGTCTGACGTGATAAACCCACAGAACCGGGCATCTCTTGGCATTAAAAGGCCGAAAAGCATAGTAGCAATGATACAGATCGTACTGTCATTTTCTTTACGAAAAACAAATTCTATTCTGACTTTGAAGTATTTCTGTACCGTTAAACCACAGGTTTACGTTTCTATGACTAACCTAATCGCTAACATGTGGATCACTGTCTCGGGCACGATGAAAACACTATGGTTGTCTTCTCGGCTCTTCAGAAACACAACACGACACAAAACAAACAACACAGCAAAACACGAAACAAACGACACAGCACCAAACAACACAACACAAAACAACACAACATAAAACAAACAACACAACGCAACACAAACAGCAGCTTCTCTCTCAGGAACCAGGAGACAGAATGTTACTCCCTACCACACTGTGCAGAAGATTATTCTTTGCAAAAGATCCAATGAGGAATACCGATTCCTACTACAATGAACCCACTGCGATGACAAGCGGAGCTCTCATGAGAAGTGTGCGTGGCTTTTTGTTATAGATCAGAGTGAGGGAAACAGCAAAAGCCTTCATCAGGCAGTATCAGGGCCTTAGGTTGTTAAAATACACACAGTCTGCTCATGATCATAATTAGAATTAAGAGAAATCTCAGCAACACAGATGTGTGTCAGTATCAGGTCACATGGGCCTGTGGCTGGCGAGAAAGACAGCAGACATCAATCTTTTACCAGGGAGCTCTGCACGTCCCTTTTCCTATAACGTGCCGCAGAAGCTCTGCCGGTCGGGTCGCGCAGGAGCACTGCTCCTGGAAGGCCAGTTCACATCTGAGGACAGTACCCAGGTGTTCTACAGTCTAGATTGTACACTTGAATATTCTAGGAACTCTGTGTTGTTAAGTTTTGTATTCCCCGTGTGCATCTTAGTGTCTGCAACACAGTATGTGCTCTATAAACATGTATTAAACGTTTGAAAACCCAGTAATGTCAGGGGAGAAATCTATGTAGCAACCGGGGAAGAATTTACGAGGTTCTCAAATACTTCACACAGAGCTAAGTACTGAAGGATAAAAATCTGAGTTTTCAGAAGCTCTCTATGTATAGAGGGTTCTAGTCTTCTCTTCGTGAATCCCAAGGCTTGGAAGAGAAAAGGCAATGGTAAACTGCCACGTGATCCTCTCTGAAGACCAAGAAGCGAGGCTCCTCTCTCCTTGCCTCCGTGCTCCTCTGTGCACTGACCCCATTCCTTGCCTCCCGAAACTCCGTGCAAGGCCTAGTACGACAGGCGACAACTTGCTGATGAGGCCACAGAGACCGCATGGCCAAACGTGTGCTCCCCCGTGGTACACTAAGAGTACTACTACTGCACATCTGCTTCCATTCACCGGTTCAGGGCTCGGGCCCAAATGCATTAAACAAATCATCACTAATGCAACATTTCCATAATTCGGGGGACAAGTACTTTATGGAAGGCATATTTCCTTAAGGCTTGCAAGGCATCTAATTTTCCTTAGTATTATTCCACACTGTCTGTCTTGAATGAAAAAGAAGTTTGTTTTCTTAAAGATAAGTTGCCTTAAGCTACAAATACTCCCATCGTCTCTTTTTTATTTTTTATTATTATAGGACACAGTCATGCTGAGATAGTAGGAAATCAAAATCTAGAGGTAAAGAGAGTCTCAAGAGATCATCTGCTCCCATTTGAGATGGGTTTCTAACAAGCTGTTGTGGAAAGTTGGTTATTTAGCTCTTACTGATGCTAACTGGACAGAGACTTTGCATTCTCTCCTGACAGCCTATTGCTGGTGTTTCATCATCTTTCAAAGTTTGCCCTGTTTCAAATTAAGTCAATTTCCTCATGTTTTACTCTTTTAAAAGATTCAGGACGAACAAATAGCGCCCCGAATCATGATCGGTTATAGATTCTGAGCTCAAAGCACTGAAGACTGGCAGCTATGTCTCCAGTGAACTTGAGAAGCTGTCTTTTTACTGATATGTTAAAATGCCTGCTCCTCAAATTTCTGCCAAATAAGGAGGTACAACAAGCTAGGAGTGTAACTTTGGTCTGAGGTTAGCTGTGAAATCCAAATAAGTCACCACAGATTCAGAACATGGGTAATTGAACAGACGAGGCACTTCTGCACTGGAAAAGGCAGCTCCCTACTTACTAGTGTCCTAATCAAGGCCTTTCAGTTAATTGCCCTCTTCAATTAACAATCCGACATGAAGTTTTAAAATGCTTAATTCAGCCATTTTGAGGATAGTTTTAAACAATAAATAGTAATATGTCTGGCTAAAATATATACTCCAAATAATTTCCCTATTAAAATCCAACAGTGAACAGAGTATCTTCCCATACCATTTTAGAACTTAAAATGAACAGAAAACAGCATAATTAACTCTACTAAAAAAGGGAAATGTTGGTCCAGATATTTAATCTACATATAAACTTCTCAACTAGGTCTGAGGTTTGGTTTGGTTTGAACAAAACATACAGCGTGACCACCATGTGACAGATGTTTCACGTCCACCTGCTCTAACCTTACAGTAACAACCCTGTAGTCCTCAGGAGCGTCACTGCAAACTGAACCTTCTCAAAGTTAAACAAATCGCCTGAGATTGTTCAACGGGAAGGAGCGCCGGAATCGGCCGCATTCTCAGCACACTGCTCTGTTGGACCAAGGTGCCGGTTCGCAGAGGCCAGAAGGTGAATCTGAGACCAGAACACTGACCCATCAGGGAAGAGGAGAGAAAGAAAGGTTTGGGGCAGAAGCTCCTCCCAGCGTGCAGTTCCCCACTGTGAAGCTCCGACTGGCCGGGCCTGGAAGCTCGCAGGCGTATTAAGAGCAGACAGGGACATAACCGTTCTCCCAGGAGGACGTGGCCATGTCCAGAGCTGCTGCGCTTCCATCCGCTGTCCCGGACTACTGCTCCTCTAGGAAACTCAGCTACAAACAGGATTCAGTTTAGTAGCAGAGCGGGACGTCAAACCACGTGACTAATTCACATGTGAACATTGAGATTACTTGTTCAGACTGTTTTTATACTGACTCAGGAGATCACAGAGCATCTCAGGGAGCCATATGTAGCAGCTAATGTCACCAGTTTCTTTTTGCTGATTCTTCTTCTTTGAAGTCAACAAGGCTTTTAATAAATGTAATAATTTAAAATAATTTTCTTTGTGATTTTACATTTTAACTCTAACCAAGATTTATAAATTCCTTCGAGGAAGGCAGGATCAACAAAGTAAACTGAAGACTGAAAATGCTCATCATATTTAGAAAAATGAGGGTTAGGGTGACTTTCGGGAACACCATTTCAATGCAGCAATGAGGCAGAAGCCACAGTGCACAGGTTAAGAGGAGGATGGGGGGAAAGAAATGAAGAGGCACAGCTGCGCCTCAACAGCAAAGGCTGGGGCTGCACAGGGCCATCGATGCGTGTCTGTCTGCCTCCCCATCCCTGGGTTTCTCATCTGCGGATTCAACCAACCGTGAATCAAAACCGGTATTTTCGTATGCGGTACAACTGTGATTTAAAAATAAATTCAAACAAACAAAAACCACCAGTATGTCGACCTGCGGGAACCCACATGCAGAGGGCCAACTGCATACACTGTCCTCTGCCGTACTACAGAAGGGGCTTGAGCATCCGCAGATTCTGACATACGTGGGGAGTTCCAGGAGCCAATCCCCTGAGGAGACTAAGTGACCACTGTAGTTAAGTGTTTGGGGAATCCAAGGTTGTATATGGATTTGTGTCTACACCAGGGTACCAGTTCCCTAACCCCCACATTGTTCGAGGGTCAAGTGTAATATGTAGACAATTTTTTTCAAAACACTGGTCCTGGAGAGAAGGAAAGAGCTGGGATAGGACCTAGAAAAGAGAGGTAGACACGGGGTGAAGATAACTCCTGTTCCTCCTGATGAGAGACTCGATCCCAGAGTTTAGAAGTAATTTGGAATAAAAATGTTTATCTTATAATAAATATATTCCTATTTTTACACTACATATTGTTATAATAAGAATGAGCTGGCCTTTTGGAACTATCACTAACTTACATTTTAAACTAAACATACCTAATATGTAAATCTAAATATATTATTATCTTCCATCTACCTTTTCTCAAAGGAAGGTAATTAAAACAGTATGCTAAAGACAATTCATGACAGACTGATATCTCTCTCCTTTCCTCATTGCTTAAGGTTAGATAGCCACACGTAGAACTTTAGGAAGCTTCTTGTTCTTATGCTATATACTTCATATACAGAACGGCCCTAGTGATCTACTAGAAAACAGCGCATGAGTCATACAACTATTCTCTAGGAGTAAAAACTATTCTATATTCATAAACCCTGTGACCAGTGGCCTGGTATGAAACATCCTGGTGGAGCACAGATTTAATAGTAAAGTCTACCTATTTTAATTTAGAGATCAAAGCAAAATGTCAACATGCTCATTTAGTTCTTGACCAGTAATAATATACTCAGTCAAACCCCAAGAGCAGATAATATCAAATAAAATGAATTTCTGAAATAAAATACAGAAATGTGACAAAAAAAGTACCTGTTGGTGACTGCCCAATTTCATTATGAAATCAATAGCAGAAATGTCAACTTAGAGGATTCCCAATGAAGTTGTTAATTGATTCTTTAAATGTTATTCTGATCCTCTTAAAACATTTAAGTTAAACTTTAAAAACTACTGAACAGGCTACAGTAAAGAAATTTTTACAGTGAGCCAAAATAAAAGGTATAAACCCAGTTCAAAGAAAAAAAGCAAGCAGGCTGTGTAGCAGTATCTGCCATAAGTGACAAAAATATTTGAGGTCATCAAGTATCTGGCACCTCCCAGGTGCGAGGCCCAAATCCAGGCAAAAGACTGTGGTGGGCACCGTGACTTCTGCAGAGGAGTCTGCAGGGTGGCTAGGTGTCTAATCCCAGACTCAGATGACCCCTCTGGTCACATTCTTCCAGTTATATAGCCTTTAAAAACTCCGAAAGTCATGAATAACATTAAAATTTTTGTGTTTCATAATTCCAAAGCAACTTACAAAACAATTCTATGTACGTAACAAAAAAACTGAAAACAAAGAATTGAAAAAACAGTTGATATGTGATTGATTTATTAAAAAAGTTTAATGGCCTAACTGCAAAGATAACTGTATTGTTTCGGCAGAAACTGTCATCAAACCCCCAGCTCCTACGCAATAAGTTTTCTGAAAAACAAGTGATTCTGAGATGACGTGTTGAACAGACCTAAAATTCTTCTTTTCTTTTTTTTTTTGTAAAATGCTGAATATGTATAAAACCTCTTCAAGTAGAAGCTTATACTTAAAAATTGGAAGCTTAAAGTCTTAATAATATTGAAAAAACGAATTTAGTATCATTGCATTTACCAAAATACGAATCTGAATTTATAAGAATGCATTGTTCTAAATACATGTACAATGTCTTCCCTCCCCCAAATGAAAACTATTGTACTTTATGTAGGAAGAAAAATTACTTACCGCTATAATATCTAGTGTATTATCACAGACCTTTCGGATTTCATTATTTTTATCATGCATCAGATCTATGAGATATGCTGGAGCCTCTGAACGAAAGTGGTTAAAGATAAAAACTGCATTTGCGATCGAGACCATGCATTCACACAGGAAAATCCCACCTTTCTCTGAGTTCACATGCTAACTTGAAATTTAACTTAAAATTTTAAATTAAAATCATCAATACAAGATGACCAGAAATATTTAATATTTAATTTGTTTAAAAAAAAAAAAAAACAGGGATAAAAAAAGGAAAAAAACTAGATAAAAATGATCAAGAAAAACAGCTAGTAAATCTCGGAAAGTAGAAGGCCGTGTTTTGAAAACATGAACATAGTGAAAGTAACTGAAGAGGGAGCTCTCGAGCTGTGCGGCTCTGAGAGCCTTCGCGACCACCCTGGTTCGCTCTAGTGCTCAGGAAACTTAAATTCACACGAAAGAGCAACAGGAAGGAATCACAGTCAGACCCCGCGTGTGGCTATTAGAAGAAAGAGAACACGTGAGGCATTTTCATATAAAAGATAAAATCTGTAACCTAATATTTCAAAAAGAGATAAAGGAATTTAAGAAAACAATAGTATACATATGAAAGAACGATATAAGTCATAATTAGAAAACTCAGAAGAAAAAAATTCAGTAAAGAACTAAAAATAAAAGCAAAAATCATTTCAGATATAGTAAACTAAATTTACAACACAAGAGTAAATAAATAGATAAAAATTTGAGAAATAGAAGGCAAAAAGATAATTTGTAAAATTAAATAATGAAAAGAGATTAAAAATTAGAAAATTACAGATATTAAAGACAGACAAAGAAGATCCAACATAATATAAATCTCAAAGGAGACAACCAAAGCAATAGGACAGAACAAATATTAAAAATTATAATTCAAGAAAACTTCATTCCTGAAATTAAAAAAAGACAAAACTACATACTGAAAAAGAGCACATCTGCATACTTGGAAAAATCAAGTAAGGATGATAAATACCAAGTCAAGTTCTAATAAAACTACTTGGCATCAAAGAAAGAAACATTCCTTTGGTCTTCCCGGCAAAAAGATCGACTCATAAGGAAAAAAAGTAAATTGTCATTAGACTTTATGACAGATACCAATAATTATGAGAGTACAGACTTCTCATTGGCAGCAGTTCAGGCCAGAAGACAGTGGAAAAATACTTTTCAATTGCTGAGGGAAATAAATGGCAATCTAGAATCCCATATTCTGTAAATCATTATTAAAGGGGCAAACTTGCTATTACTTTGGCGGGGAAGGAGGGAGGCTCAGGATTAGAAAGGCTTGGCTGAGGAGATGGCTTATAAACTTATCTTTGCTGAATTGGAGACCATTAGGTAAAAAAGGAGAGAAATGCATTTGAGGACAAGACACCTGAAGAGGCAGTAAGTTATGACAAGGTGGGTCATGTCTGATAAATGATGAGAAATCTGGTGTGCTAAGAAAAGACAGTGTATTGTAAGGTTAAAGGGAACTTTTGAAAAACGTTAAAGTCAGCACATACAAAAAAAAAAAAAAAAAAAGACACAAAGATTCAGGTTAGATACTATTGCCACTGCCGTCCTTCCATGACATCCCCAGGCTTGGTTATATATTCTCTCCCGTGCCCTATGCTCATACCTTTATGACCTGATCACAATGGAGCATAATTTTATATTTCCTATTTACTTGCCTAACTCTCCATCAGATGAGTACATCCAGCACTGAACCAATGTTAGATGATCAGCACCAGCTAAATGTTTGCAGGTTAAATGATTATGTGCAGTTGAAGATGGAGCCGACACAAAATTTTCAGTATGGGACTGGGTGGATGACACTGTGATTATCCACTAAAAATACAGAAGGCAGTTGCTTTTCAGGGGAGGCTATTGACAATATCGAGAGCCCTTTTAGATACAATAATGATAAACTACCACTTGTTGTGTGTCTGCGTGCTGGGAACTATTATGGCACTTTAAATCCATTAGTACTTATAACAGTCCTATAAAGTAGGAGGGACTTATTTCTACTCTAATAATATTATGGCCATTTATAGATGCAAGATTGTATGCTTGGATAAGTTAAGTAACTTATCCAAGGTCCTACAGCTAATAAGTGGTAAAATTGCCTTTTAGGGTTATGTGATTATAAAGCTCCTTAGGCTACACCACATTACGCCCCTTCAGTTACGAGGAAGTCATTCAGTTGGCAGTTAGCAACAAATGCCTGGAACTCAAGAAAGAGGTCTTAAAAATATTAAATACTTAGCATATAGTTGGTAGCTGAAGTTATGAAAATAGATGTTTTCCCATGGAGAGTAAATAAGGTAAGATTCAAAGAGAACTAAGGACAGTTCTAGGAAGCTCTGATAGTTACGTTAATAGAGAAGGAAGTTCTGATATGTTTGTTAAGTTTCTTGGGAATCACAGCCTGACAAGTTAATAAAATTGTTCCCAATATATTCTACCATCTACTGATTTGGGGTCAACAGCTTCCATGAAGAATAGTTTGTCCTCTAAATTTATTTCAAAGCTTGATACTTTCTATATTAGTTGAACATTTGCAAGAAAAAATACCTAAAGATACATCTTTTCTGAATATGTTAAATGTCATTATCAATGGTAACAGTGAAGGATACGTGTTTCCTTGATTATGACATCTCTTGTGGCTTGGTGGAACACCATCTGGTAGAAGACGTAAATTATCTGGCACACAAATTCGTCATCTTCTTGTTGAGCTGAAAGGAAACAGAAAACTTCAAATAAAAGAATACTATGTTTATATTAAAAACTGAAAAACATTAAAGGGAATAAAAGAAAATGAAAAAAAAAAAAAACCAAAGTGACAAGGAGATAGGTAAAGGACAATTAGTTTAAATTATTTACAATATATGAGTGGCATATATCATTTATGTCAGGTGTTTTTTCTAAATTATATGGTAACAACAGTGAGGAAATTTCTTAATATGTTTTTAGAAGTCTTAGTAAATTTGGTTGTACTTAAGCTAAATAGGTTAAATTACTTTGGAATACAAAGATAAAAAAATAAGATTTTGAAAAAGAGCAATTACGTCATGAATCTGAGTTTAAACCAGACTAACTTGAGATTGCTCATCTCAAAAGATGGTGTTGTACTCAGGCAGAACTGAGGGGCAAGACTGGTTTAAGAGAAAAGCAACAGTGCTTCCTGGCAGTTTTCACTGTATTTGCCACCATAAAGGAATTGGTAAAACTAACTTCTATGCACCTAGTGTGAAATGGCAACACTAACCACAACTCGGTTGGTTCTTTTTGGTTCCATCATAAGAATTCTTTAAACTATTCTAATTTGTGAAATAAATCTGGTTCTGTTTTGTCTCTATAATGTGGACTTTACATGAAAAACATAGTTCTTAAAGAAGATCACACCGTCTAAATGTTTGGTAGAAATTAGACTGTGATAAGCAGGTATTTTTCTTTGTTGAATAATAACAAAATTAAACTTTACCTATTGGCATGAAATAAGAAGGTATTTTAGTTTCGATCTAATTGTAATATAAAAAAGAATGCTATGTGATCACACAGGCTAGTAAGTATTTAATATCATACAGAGACTGACAGAACAGCTGATGTCCACTGAGTAATACGTAATGTCAAAAGCAAATACTTAAGGAAATCTAATTTTTAGGTACTGGTTATAAAATTTGATTTACTAATAGTATGCTATCAACTCTTGGCAACAACTGTTAGACACAGATTTACAGGTCAAAGGTCAACAGAGCATCCAGGTCCACCCTGTTCCAAATGACTCTCCTCACCAACATGCCGAAGTGCCACTCTCCCGGAAGACTTGGGCTAAAAGTCTACTAAGGACTCGTGGTACACAGTGTTCCTTCACTTAATCAAAAGGCTTCGATCTTGGAAATCCATACATTTCCTAAAAGAGTGGTACGCAGCCTCTGCCCGCGATGTCCTCACGTCAGGACACGAGAGCGCAGTAAAACCCTGTGTGCCAGCGTCGTCAGCTCGCTTCACGCACCCGTGGCTTTCTCAGTCACAATCAGTGCAGGACAGCGATTCAAGGACACAGTCGTGTTTCAGCTTCACCACAGAATCTGCGTCGTGGCTCTGCCAACGACGTCGGCTCCACTTTCGCCTCCTGGCCACCTGGTCTCTCAGTTATTTCTAACCTGAAAAGTCCTGGCTTGAGAGTGTGGACCGAAATAAATACATACATAGTAGTGACCCTCGCACATGGGGGAGTCAGGGGTGTCGAGCCTCATGCAGTTGAAACCTTACCCATCCCTCAGTATCTGTAGGGGATCAGCTCTAGGACCCCCTGTGGATGCCCAAGTCCCCTTGATAAAATGGCTTAGAGCAATGCATACAGTTGGCCCTCTTCATCCGCAGACCCAACCGTGGATCAGAAACGGGACAAGTGTTTATTGAAAAAAATCCACATACACAGTTCAAACCTGTGCTGCCTAAGGGCCAAGTGTACTATATGTCGGAATACCTTGACCATGGGGGCATTATCTCTAGACGACCTTTTAAAATGCATTATGTCAGAGAATTTACAAATCGAATTTAAAACTTAAGAAAAATGAAAAAAAAATAAAAGAAAAATGAGCAAAAGACTTAAATAGGCACTTCACTTTCTTTGCCATGTCTAAATGGCCAAATAACACAAACAGGTACTCAGTTTCATTAATCACTATGGAAATGCAAACTAAAACCACAGTGCGACACCACTCTGAGGTTACAATTACGGAGACAGCACCCAGATACGCGGTGATGCAGGGCACTGCAGCTCTGTACGTTGCTCGGGGACTGAACGCCGGCGTGGCTGCTTTGTGAAAACGACCGGCACAATGTACAGACGCCAAGTGTGTGCGCACTCTGCGACCTAGCCATTGCACTCCGAGGCACGTGCTTAATGGAAATGAGGAAACAGGTTCACCAAATGCAAGGTTTAAGAATGTTCATAAGATCATTCTCTTAAAAAAAACCATCCATCAATAATAGAAAGAATAAAACAGCAGTATATTTACACAGCAATGAAGAGAAACACATCGTACATAACACAGATGAATATGACACTTACAATGTAGGGCAAAAGAAACCAGATTCTATTTATATAAAGTTCAAAACCAAGCAAAATCAATATGTGGCTTATAAAAGAAAGGACAGAAACCAGCAGAAGAGGGACCTCTACATGCTGGTAATGTTTTATTTCCTTCTGTGAGTGGGAATAAGATGGGTGTACTCATTTTGAAAAGTCATGGACTACATACGTACAATTTGTGCATTTTTCTTTATGTTATACTCCAAAAAAGTCCATTAAAATATAAAATGCATATATGTTATACCTTGTATGGGAAAGACTGAGATTAGAGTGTCTTTTTAGGCTTCTCATATTAGTATATTTAACTTCTGTACTATGATCTACTTTTAATGTATAATATCTGCTATGGACTGAATTGCGCTCCTCCAACATTCATATAACTGATGCCCTAACCCTGTCACTGTATTGGGAGACATGGCTATAAGGAAGTAATTTAGGTTAAATGCGGTCATAAGGATGGAGTCCTGATCCCGTAAGATTAGGGCCCTTCAAAGAAGAGATGCCAGAGCACTAGCAAGCGCTCCCCCGCTGCCCGCCTCTCTGGCAAGGAGGACGTCAGGACACGCTGAGACAGTGGCCTCCTCCAAGCCAGGAAGAAAGACCTCACCAGGAACCAAGTCAGCTGGCATCCTGATCTTGGACTTCCCAGCCTCTAGAACCACGAGAAAATAAATTTCTGTTGTTCGAGCCACTTGGTCTGTGGTAATTTGTTAATGGCAGCCTGCGCAGACGATTACAAGGTCCTAGAAAACATGGCCCTCACAGAGTGACACAGGTTCAGATTAATTTCATGTGCAATAAGAGAACAATGATCCCTGGCCCCTTTAGAGCAATACAAAAGCAAGAGGAAGACTCTGTCAAGGCCCCTACTGTCCAACACGTAACCATAAGCCACCGTGGCTAATTACATTACGTTAAATTAAATTAACATTCCCGTCCTCTGTCCTAACACCACATTTCAAGTACTCAACAGCCACACATGATGGACGGCACAGACGGAACATTCTCTTCATCACAGCAAGTTCACAGGACACTACTTCTGGGCTTATGGGGGAATATGATGCTTAGAACTGGCTTCCAAATGAACTTTCCTGATTAGAAATCAAGATATTTTAAAAAGGACTTGCACAAGATGGGAGTTCCAGTTCGACCAATACACGGCTCGACAGAAAGAAGGACGTTAGGTGTGAGCTGTTCGAGGCTGTTGAGAGGGATGCCGTGTCTATGAAATTGGCCCTGAATTGCTTCATAGCACCAGTAACTTTGCAACCTAAAGCTCTTTGATGTTACTCTAGCTAATCCTAGTAAATTATATTTAATTCATTTAACTATATAATTTAAGTTGCTATGTCACAAAATGATTCATGTAACAAGATGATTCATGTAACAGGATAAACAACATTTCATGATTCCAGACTATTTTATACTTAAAAGTTTAAACTTATAACCTGTTAATATATTAGCATAGAAAAAAGTTAAGATAAATTATAATTTACCATTCAGAAGTTCAATGAGTGCGGGGATTATCCCAGATTTGGCGAGCAATGCAGCGCAAGAGTCATCCATGGACACAGTCCCAATCATTATAACCACTTCTAAAACAAGGTCATCTTCTGCAGCACCTAATCAAGTTAAACCACAGACGGTTTTCATGCAGCTAATGAGAGCTATTAAATCAGTCCTTATGAATCCTAACATAGTTATATATGTCTTTTTCCAAATTTCTGTGTTCACTGATGACAGTTTGTGGTGTGGGGAACAGCAGTAGGAAAGTAGAAATTAGTCTTTGGAAATATAAATTGATGACAATTTAAACACAGAAGAGAGAAGATTCACTTGAATGTCTCCAAAGAACTTTGTGTGTGCATGTGTGCGCATGTGCAGAGGAGGATGGCACTTGGTAATTTTAAAAAGGCAGAATTAGAAAAAAATAAGGAAGAAGGCAGGATAGGGTAGGGAAACGTAACATTAAGAAAACACACTGTTAGGAAAAGGAGTACATACGTATCGGAGGAGGCCTGGAGACCACCTTTCTGAGAGAAAGAAACTAGAACTAGAGCTACAACTACAGGCCTGGGCGGAAACGTGCTACCCAGTGTAACAACACCCACAAAACACTGCTCCAGTAGTCTCATCCAGATCACAAAGAAACACTGATTAGACAAAAGAGAAATACTCAGCACGGACCTGGTTTCAGTTTATCCTTGAGGTATGGAACCAACTTGTACTCCTTAAGGACTAATTCCCAGTCTAAGTCTGGAATGGTCAAATTTGCAAGAGTCCCCAGACATTCAATCACAAACTCCTCCTCTTCGTCGTTAGAGATCTGGGCTGCGAGATCCCCAACATAATCCTGAATAAAACAGGTTTTTAATACAAATTAAAATATGATTCCTGCAGAAGGACCAATCTAAAAATTTAACTCACAGGAAGAAAAAATTAGTATCAAACATGACCCTCTTGCTGTAATACCTTGAGCTGAATTGCTGAGGAAGCCTGCGGTGAACTGGATTAAGGCAGGAAAGCTGGAGTGAGGACAGAGGGTTAGGGGAGGAACCATAAAACAAAAACAGCAGTAAAACCTAGGCTGAATTTTCTAGGAGCTAAACTTACAAGGAAGTGGGTGACAGAAAGCCAACGAGGGTCAGGAGTTAATATTTGACGAGAGCTCAGTAAGAGTTATAATTCCAAATGTAGCACTTTAAAGCTTCGATTCTTAGACTACTTTAACAGACGACAGGCCAAAAACTACACTTACAATAAATAAATTTTTAGTTGGTCCATCATGCTGGGAAATGTTCCTAATCATTTTCATCAGCAGTGGATCCTTGAACTTCAAAGCCCTCTTCATGAGCATCTTCAGTCCATTTCCTGATACAGAAAAATCGAAAATTCCCCCAATAAAATTAAGGTTCACTTAAATTTAATGATTTTTTGGTTTACAATTTGCAAAAAAAAAAAGTCAATTCACATACAGTAAAATGCACAAATCTTAAGTGTATAATAAATTCATTTAGATAAATGTCCCTGTGTAATTTACACCCATATCATGATATACAATATTTCCATTCACCCCAGAGTTCCCTGTACTCCTCCTTCCCAGCAAATCCTATTCCCCAAATACAATAACTTTTTTTCTCCTCCTTTTCTTCTTTTCCTTCTCTTTTTTTTTCTTATTAAACAAACTAATTTTGCCCATTCTAGAATTTCACATAAATGGAATCACTAAGTATGTGCTCTTTTGTGTACGGAATATGTGCCACAAATTTTAAAAATGTACAAATAGTCTTTGACTCAGAAAACTTGTACTTCTAAGAATTTATCCTACGAATATAAAAATGGAAATGTGTAAAGATTCAGAGAAAGGAAAATTACCGCAGCACTGTTTGTAATAGAAAAGCAGTGGCAACAAACTAAATATCCAAAATAGCAGATTAAATTATGAAAAATCTTTTAATGGATTATTTTGCAGCTCCTGACAATTATGTTTTATAAAAATATTTAGTCACATGGAATGATATGCAATGTATTATTAACTTAAAAACTGTCAGCATACATAGAGAACTCCGTTTTAATTAAAAATACGTAGAAGCATTGCAGCAAAATTTTACTTATGATTATTTCTGAATAGTGAGAGTAAAGATTTAAATTTTTTCCTGTTTGCTCAGTGTAGTTTCTGTAATGAACCTGTGTACTTTTCAAATAAGAAAAACAACTACTGAGCAGACCGAACTATCATAATGCATGACAAGCCATTTTATGAAGATATTATAGAAACAAAAACCTAACACATTTGTATTATGTCATCTTACATTATAACAGATTGTTTTTGCATTAATAAAAAGTTTTGTTTCATCTAGTAAATGTTTTTAAAAATCAAATACCAATTAAGAGTAACTGCGCTTGGTTTATAAAATATTACTGGAGGATAAGTGTTTCTACTCATGATATAAGAATATTCAATCTGACCTTTAAGGATTGTAGCTATAATTTTAAAAACTACCTAAAAACAGGATTTACATAGCTACTATAATTCTTAATTCCTTATTATCTATTTTCCGTCACAAGCCAATTGCCATGTGATAGAGGTTATCTATGAAGCTCAAAGGCACTAACCTTCACAGATAAGCTGTACATTCCTTTTGTTCGCAGCAAGATTAATGCAAAAAGAAATGAGTTCCAGGTCAATTCGTTCATCCGAACATTCAAAGAGCATCTTCATTAACTAGCAAGAAGCACAGGGCAAATTTTACTCAAAAAGACGCACGCAGAAAAACCAGAAGCAGTAGTTTTATCACAATGTGTTATCTTAAATTGTATGTTGGAAATAATACATTCCATTTTCAACACATAGAAGTAGTAAGCTGTCACTAATGAAAAACTAAATGAATAAATGGTTAATGAACTACTAGATTCTCAGCATTAAACATATACTAAGTAAAGTGGAAAATACAAGAAAAATATTAAATACATCTATGCATTCAAGGAATTTAACATACTGTGTGGGAGTAGAGCATTCTGAGCAAAGAAAATACCTTGGTCAAAGTTTACGAGGCAGGAAAGAACATGACCCCTCTGAAGAGCTAAGACCAGGAAGCATGCCTGGAGAGAGGGGAACGTGTTGAGAGATAAGAAGGTAAAAGCCAGATCATGCAGGGTCTTGAAGTACATGTTAAGGATTTGGGGCTTCGTCTTAAGGATAATGGGAAGCCACTGAAAGCGTCTAAATAAGGAAAGTGTCAGGATAAGATCCGTGTTGCAAAAAGATGTGGCCAGCGTGGAAAACGGACTGAACCAGGGTAAGAAAGATGTGGGAAAACCATCCAGGAGGCTAGAGGAAACGTCCAGGTACGAGCATGGCCTCCTGGACCAGGGAGAGCAGTGTGAGTAGAGCTAAGAGGATGGCGAGGGATATACTCAGGAAAGAATCAAAACAGGATTTCATGACTGACTAGATGATGTGCTCAAGGAAAGGAAGGGTCCAAGGTGCCTCCCAGGTTTCTGCACCGACATGAATGGTGATACCAACATTTACCAAAAAGGAGAAACTAGAAACAGGAGAAAACTTTGAAGAGGAGATAGTGGTTTGGGTTTTCGATACGCTGAGTTTAAGTTGCCTATCTGATAGTCTAGTACAGTTATTCAGTACAAGTTATAAATGCAAGCATGAGTTTAGAAGAAATGTTTGGACTGGAGGTATAGTTTTAGAAACTGTCATATATGGTCGATAACTGAAGCTGTAGGCTGGATCCAATTATTTGGGCATGGGTATAAAATGAGAAAAGAATTCCATTTAAGGTTAAGAGAAAGGGTAAGAGGGCTTTACAGACAGAAAAGTAAGGAGTTTGAAAAGGTAGGCTATCTATGCCATTTAGCAGTAATCTAGATTTTTCAAGGTAAGAATTAGTTCCTATAATAAAGAAGAAATAAACTTTATGATATAGTTTTGAGAAGCTAGTCTATTATTGGTAAATCAGCAAATTAACTTAATGTATATCATGTAAAGATTTTTTTCTAACAATATATAGAAGTCAATTTATAACCTAAAAATTTCTTCCTTTTCATCTCAGGGCAATATCTTTTTAGATCAACACACCTTCATAAATCCAGCACGGTGTCTTACATATAGTTAGTGAATAATAACACTATTTATTAACTGGTTAGACCCTATTCTGTTAAATCTTGTTTTGGTTATTCTCCACATTAGCTCCAGATAACTTCTACATTTCAAAAAGGATACATGATCAACACACAAAAATTAATTGTATTTCTATGTGCTACCAATGCACAATTGGAGACCAAAATTAAAAACAAATCTACTTATAATCGCTCCTCCAAAATAAAACACTTAGGTATAATTCTAACAAAACTATATCTATATGCATTTATCATATGCTGAAAACTAGCAAACACTGTAGCAGGTGAATGGCTGGCAGGTACGCCTTTCCCAGAGGGCAGCTCTTTAACCACAAATGTTGCTAATGGAATCTCTGGGTAGAGAATCAACAACATTTAATAATGTTACAGAATTTAAAAATTGTATGGCAAAAATAATCTATATTTACTGGATATATATTTAACAGGTTTTGCAACCTATCTATAAATTAACTGCCAATTAAAATTTATTATGTTTTTCATACTCATAAAAACCTACTATAGATTTCTTCCAGGCTTTTACTGATACAAGAAGCTTTTTTGTAATGACAAAAAATGCTACATCAACTCAAAGCTTTAAGAAGGCAAAATATCGGTGACTATTTACTTGAAATGAACCTTGTAGTATGAAAACTGCCCTTAAAAATAGGGTTACAGTTGATTTGCTTAGAAGCTAGATTTTTGTTTTGCTTTGTTTTTGTAATTTCATGAAATAATCAAGAGCTAGATTTAAAAAATAAAAATAATGCATGGTTTGAAATCTTATCTACTCCCCCCCCATCAAGAGAAATTAGGACTAAATGTGAATTAAATGTATCATGATATAGAATTAGTTTTTCATAATAAGAAAGAGAAACACTTCAATTTTAATTAAAGCATTCACATTTTAAAATAATAGTTTAGTTCAAACTCTACGTGCAACATGATGTCTTCAATTTGATTGCTACCCACGGCACTTCAAAAGTAAGTGTAATTGCTGACAACTAGGAAATATTAAAACTAGATTTGTTCTGCTTTAACTATGTCCATTGTCATCTTTTACCAATTTACCAGGAAGGCAGTAAAAGGGCTTCGGCTTGCGCGATGAAGAGGCGACAGTGCTCAATCAGACAAGTCCCACACTGAGTATCAGATACCAAAGACCTACGACCGAAATCACTGTGTCTAGACTCTCTGGCACCTGACTTCACTTATTTACCAGTGACCAGAGCCAACCCCCACAGCTCTCTGTTCGCACACCTCCACCACCCCCACCCCCGCCCAAACATCTTTGAATGATTATGGCAGAACTCTGCATGCCTCAGGAATCTCTTCTGACTGGCGACTCCCTAACTCTGCTGTTTGAAGTGATGCTCTGGTTTCTGAACTTCAGCAGATAATGGCAGGCAGGAGCAAAGGGGGCTGTCAGAAAGGACGTTTACCAGCATTCGGCTAAAAAGAGCATGCAGATCAAAGAGGGGCCAGAGAGGACAACTGCAGTGGAAAACATGTGGATCACTATGAAGATTCTTGCACACTATTCTAGGGTAAAATATTAAACAACACCATGACATCATTGCCCAAACACGTACTTTGATTGGCCATTCTATTACCAATAAATGCTTTTATAAGCATCTGGATGGCATTTGCACCTATTTAAACAAAGCATGCATCTTAGAGGTCTAAATAACAATGAACTGTTAATGTGTACTTTTAACTATTATTAGAATACAACTATTAACTCCTGGTTATCCCCAAGCATGCTTACCTGAAACAATTCACCCACCGAGACCATTAAGATCATGTATAAAGAAAGATTTGCCTGGCCCCCAAAATTGTGCAGAATAGTGACATAATAGGGAAAAAATTAGAATATATTGGATAATTAGAGGCAATAAAGTACAAAAGAAGCAAAGCAACATAATATCGGGAGAGATTATAAGGCACATTGAATATATAATCACCTACTCTGAATGTGAAATGATTTTCAAAGTGAACTCTAATCTAATTATAGGCTTAACCTATAAAACACATATAAGGAAGGCAGTATCTAAATTGGACTATGAATAGGTCAAAAATAATGAGGAAAAGATTTGACATTTTACTAATAGTACCTTACTTTTGTATAGTGTTTTACAATTTGTAAAAGCTCCTTTACATAGATCTCTAATATAATTAAAAAATATAACCATACTCTACACTCTTTTGATCAGTAAGATGAATATAAATAACTACTAAACCATTGCTTTCCCGCTTTCAATGTTATTTTAGGCTTCTCATCTGAAAAATTCATTTGCAATACTAGATGATCTTTACTAAACAAAAACTAATATGCATACATTCAAAGTGAACAGAATAAAACATTAACTCTAAAATACTCTGAACTTCAGATATAGCTTTATTTAATAAGTAGGTTAATCAGCTGTTGTCACAAATGAGTTTAAAGCTTTACCACTGTTATAAACAGTACTTCAAATAGCCAATACTTCTGAAAGGAGTACCTTTTTAATTCCTGAAAGAAGCTTGGAAATTCCAATTGAATCTAAGATTTGCTTGCCATGATGCTTTTATTTTACAATAAACTTAGAACTGCGTGGCAATCAAACCATGTCAACTTTTCCCTAGATATGTCAAAATTGCGCCCTATAAAGTCAAGTTATAGGCTGGATGGCACTTTAGGAGCAAACATATTTTAGAGTATCAATTGGTTTCTCAAAATATGGCCTCGACTGAAAAGCTTCAGAATGTTTATGATATAATTTAATAATATAACCTTACCTAGTCCTATAAGGGTTGAACTTTTCAAAAGAAAAAAAAAAATTGTTGACTACTGAATGAGTTTTAGAAGATTCTGTGCATGAAATACAAGTCATAAATGTTCTGAAAACTCCACTGTGGAAATGTTTGGCGTTAGAAAATTATCTGGCAAGAAAACATGCATGAATATTGTTCTAAAAAAGGTATGGGAGAATTTTGTATATACACAGTTTTCAATTGCAATACATAATAACGTCTCAAAAGTAACCTAAGCAGGTTCTTATTTCTGATTATTTATTTAAAATAAAGTTTTATATTTTATGTTTGAGATTACACATTTTAAAAGGGAAGAGTAACTCCAAATACAAGATTCAACAAAATAAGTTTTCCATCCCTTTTTAGTTTACATTTACATCTCTTTTACTTAATATTATTATTTTAAAATTCTAATCTGGACAAAAACAGTCAATCTAGGCAAGAATATTATTCTTTTCTGGCTGCTTTCCAATTCATATCCTGTAGTCAATGAAGTTCTGACACTAAATGGGATTGAAAAAGGAACACCCTTTGAAATTGCAAAGCAGAAACCCTCAGAACATATGGAGTGAGACTGTGGTAAATCACCTGTAATCTCCCTTTGACATGGCTACTCTTTTATTGAAAACTTGTTTGACAAAGAGTTTGATTACACTTCACACTGGCTGTAGTCTGACATGCGTTATCTCTGTAAGAAGCCTTGCCTTGTTAGATAAAAAATGCTGCATATTTTTTGAAGGATGTCTATTTCCTATAAACAAGCGTAATTAGTTTATCCCCTGACATAAAAGGCTAAGAAATTACCCTTAAGAGTTTATCAATTTTTTAATGGCATGTAGATAGTGTCAAAATTCTGATATAGGAAATTGAATTTTAGAACTGTCTTACAGATTTGGGATAAATAGAAGGATGGTCGATAAGAATTAATAAAGAGAGAAATTGTGGTCCATTTTTTATTACATAGTAATTATTTTCAAGTAATATAAATTTAATAACTTATATTATAGGCTAATAAGAAATTGCCTTTTTGTAGTCTTAAGAGGAATTACTTTAATAAGTGTGACATATTCATACTCTTCTAATGTTTTGAAAAATGTGTTATTTTTATTGTATATTATACATCCTGTAATTTTGCTTTCTCTATTTTAGAAAACAATTTTATAGAAAATAATATAACATTAAAAATCAGCCCCAGTGTTTCAATCATCAGATAACCAAATTACTGGAGCTCAGTTTATGAAAGATTAATGGCACAATGTTACTCTATGACTGTAAATTCTCTAAGAGTAAAATCATATAAGTACAGAATCTCTCTACCCTGAAGAGTCCATGTAAAAAAAGAGTCACTACGTTCCTTCAAAACAAATAGACCTAACAAATAGACCTAAGTATTTCAAAACTGAGTCACATCAAACAACTTTCTTGAGAACAGTGCTATAAAAATAAAAGAATTTTGATGAAGCGTTTTCCCATCAGAGTATGCAAAGCACTTTAAACCATCAACTATAAACAGAATTAAAGAGAAAATTACAAAGTTAGGAAATGTTTGTAATATGACAGAGTTAAAATAGTTATTATATATAGATTTTATTAATCATGAAAATATTAACATGTCATGGAAAAATTGGCAAGGGACATGAATAATTTATAACATAATATGGATAATAAACATATAAAAAATGTTCAACCTCACCAATATCCATAGAAATCCATAGAAATAAAAAGAGACACTCCATTTTTAGAGAAATGATAATAGCCCGTGTTAAAGATGAAATGCTAGCTGGAAATATAAACTTATGTGTTCTTAGAAGGTAATCTGGCCACAATATGTCAAACACACAAGGGGTGTTCATATCTTTTGACCTAGTAATTCTACTTTTAGGAATTAAACAAAAGAAAAAATTAAGGATGGGATAAACATTTATATGCTATGATATTTATTCCACATTATTTCATTTGCTTACATACATTTAGATCTGTTTTTATGTGATAAACTGGAAAAAAACTAAACGTACAATTTAACAATATTTAAATTATGGTACATCTATGCAACAGAATATTATACAACTATTGAAAATAATTTTTGAAGAACATTCAATGACATGGGAGAGTATTAATGATCTATTAAGTAATAAAGTAATATATAATTACATATATAATGCCAATATATATTTTTTTAACTATGTAGAAGGAAATGTAGCAGAATGTTAAATGAATATCTCTGGGTATAGGTAACCAAGTTATTTTCATTTTATACTGTTCTGTACTTATAACAAATTTATATTATAACAGATTTTCTATAATGAATTTATATTATTTTTAAGAGGGAATTTTTTAAGAAAAATATCTGGAATATCGAGAAAAAAGTAAAAAAATTTTTTGAATGCTCTTTCTAAAAACACTTGAATCACTTACCTGTGGTATACAGTCAGTGTATGCAAACATAGATTTAAAGCGGTCATCCATGCTTATGTGGTAAAGAACACACATTGCTATTTGTTTGTAGTTTTCATTGCCTGGGAATAAAAAATCATGAATATGGTGATTGAGATTTATGTGATTACATTTCTTTGGTATAACACTGAAATTAATGCATTAAAACTTTAAAACTACTGAATTAAACCCTAATATAACCCTCATCTAGAAAATATTTCAAGCTCCCTGTTTCCATTCCAAAGTGTGAATCGCACTATCTGTGAAATATCACTAATTTCCAAGAGATAATATGCATTTGCAAGGCATATTTTTAGGAAAAAAATAAACCGAAACCTAAGAATTATTTTCAGTAGCCCACTATAAAAGTGGCCTGCCCACCCTTACTGTTTTATCAAAATATGGGATTAATACAGTTTACTGAAAGTGATGATATATAAGAAATAATCAACAAAATGTGTATTTAATTCCCATGAATCAAAAATTGGAAAAAATAATCAAAATGATAAAAGCAGTAGAAAAGTATTTGTAATGTTAAAAAATACAAAACTAAAAAATGCTAAAGGCTATAAACTTATAAGCATGTAATCTATGGATTGCCTCAGAACTTCTGAGGTAAAATAATTCTAGTTTTATACACCTCGAAACTGAAAAGAGAAAAGTGAATGATACATCATAGACTTGAAAAATAAAATGGGACTTTAATATGCCATGTCGTCATTCCACCTGCTTTCAGAGAGACCATATTTTAAGGAACTATTTGCTATTTCAAAGTTAGTAGCAAAACTAGAGCTGGGAAAGTTTAACCAGAAAGTTTTATCCAAAGAACGATATTCTTGAGGATGCTGAGCTATGAGAAATCCTTGAAGATATTTGGAGTTTAAAAACAATCAAGCATGTAAGTAAATTTAGTTGATAAATTACATCAAAAAGATTTTAAATATATTTTAACAGGAAGGATAAATCTAGCACCATTATCCTTATGTCTACCATAGCACACAATTACTAGAATACTTGTTTTTTAAAATACTGCTTTATATTCTCACTGAACTTTTTTCATGTATTAGGCATAGTTTAAGGCAGTTAGAAAGGCTTGCCAGATGTAAAGTTTGGTGTTCTCGTAAGGCGTGGTATAGAGCACATGCAAGCTTCTCAATAAATATCTGACTGATCCTACTTCTAATAAACAGTACAGTGACTACAGGTAACAATACTATAGTGTACATTTGAATGTTGCTGAGAGTAGACCTTAAAAGTCCTCGCCACACACACAGAAATTGTAATAATGTGATGTGACAGATGTGTGACGAACCTGACTGGTCACCATTTTACAATACGTACACATATCAAATCGTTAACGCTGTACACCGCAAAAATTACATAACATTATATACCAAGTGGACGGCAATAAACCTAGAAAAAAGATGAGCGTTATATAAAACAAATCACTCTCACGAAGTTGGACCAGAACTGCAGTCAAGCAGTGGCCAACGTACTGAGAAAAACAAGGTGCAGAAGCCTGAAGGCGAGCGGGGGCGGGCGGGGCGGTGAGCAGCAGTGGCAGCCCTCGGGGAAGAGCTGGGTCCCCCCACGTGGAGGCCATGGAGGCGACCACTCGGGGTCAGCGTGTGGCTCTGCCGACGCCGGGCAACCTGGCCTTGTGCAGGTTAGAGGTCCATTCTGAGCCTGTGCTGAGCCACAGGTCCTTCCACCCAGTCACTTTCCTATGAAGCTCTGCTGTCCCCTTCTCCCCAATAGTATGGGCTTAGGAGTCACCTACAAGCTCCAGTCTGGGAAGAACCCTCCATCGTTTTCTCATTCTCACAGGGTTATAAATTCCTTCATGAAAATAAAACTCGAGGAAAGAAAGTAACGGAAGCGTGGAGCACTGATCAGCGTGTGCCCGCTCCACACCGCCACACGCTGCGGCGCCCTCTCCTTCCACGTGGAACTCCTGGAATGGGGAATGGCGGTGGAGCAGGTGGACTATGAAGGTGAAAGGTCACAGAGACAAGTGTGACGACACAGACGGCCACCTCACGATGAGCGACAGCACTTCGCTCACCTTGGAGCAGCATGTGCTAGGCCAAGGAAACCTGTAGGTGTGGCCCCTGGTCTGGCCGAGTGCGACCGAACACAAGAACTGGGAGCGTGACCAGCTCTGCACCAGGGATATTTTTTTTCTTGAGGAAAATGTGAAAGGAGGTGATGACATATCTAAGGGACAACAGCACTGTACTCAGAAGCCTATGTAACTCGTGTTGCTGATATGTCTTCCACATTTTGTCTGGGCAAAGGTTCCTTAGAATTCAATCAATTGATTTACAAAATACCTATAAAATTGATTTTCTTCCCTTTTTATATTTATTTAGGAATGAAAAAAATATAAACTGACATTTGCCCTTTTATTAAGAAAAAAAATGGAAATAATTTTGTAAATGGTCTTGTTACCCAGATGTTACCTTAGTGATTCTAATTCATATCTTGTTAAATACCACATATTTCTTTTCTCTTCTAAAGAACTATGATATATGAATGAAGATTATAGTATATGAATCACAGGTATCTTATTCATTGATTCAACGATTATATAAATGATTAAGTGCTTGACAAAAATATAGCCTAAAACTTAATGACAACTAGCAGATATCTGACAGCCACAACAAAAGATGAAGTATTTTAGGACAAAAGTGAATACTTGGAGTGAGAAGCTGTCTGGAAATAACCTGAATTCATCTCTTCAAACACAGCTGAACAACAAAAAGTAGAGGCTTTCTGGTAGCCAACATTTATGATTACTTAAAGGCTAATTTGCAGATCATGTTGCAATAAACAGCCATTAAGAAAGATTAAATGGTCTGAGTAAAATATGAGCTTATTCTTTATTATAAGCCAATAGTCATCTTCATTCAATGAAAGAAAGGATATTTTAGTTCTTAGAACATAAACGTCAAAAAAAAAAAAAAAAAAGACAAACAACTCCAACAATCTTGCATAACCTAAATGAATTCGGGAGGCTAGAGGGTACGATTTTCTCATAAGAATTCATGACTGAGAACCATAAACTCCAGCTAACCAGCTTTGATTCTTCCACATCCTACAAATGGCAGGCATTTCAAAAGGGCTCTTTCAAGACTTACACACATCAATTATCCCCTAACGGCATCCCAAGTTAAAACGGGCTGCCAATAGTCGGCATCCTGGCATAACGCCAAAGGCTCTGAATTTTGAGAGCAGTGAAAAGACTGAATATTTTGAGAAGTAGGCCTTAATGACGAGGGGTGGATTAGTCAGATCTGGTCAAGTAATAAGGCCGGAGTGGAAAAAAACGGCCTAGTCATTATGATTCTTTGGGTATTTATGGTAATAAACATGAATCATGATGAACTCACTGGCTAGTAAATGCAGAGGTCATAAGTGCTTCGATAGGATTTCCACAGGAATTCACCGTTAATTAGCTGGATCATTATTTGAAAGTGTTACTGAATCATCTTAGCAGTCGTGCGGCCATTCCCCCAAAACTGGTCATTCCCAGCTGAGGGCAGTTAATGCCTTAACAAACTGGCCATTAACTCTAGTAACTGATTTTGTGGGAATTATTGCACTTATAAAATACATTCAAGAGGTTTTTTTTCTTTTCTTTAAAAAAAAAAAATTGCAGCTGTAGTTCAGCTGGAGCAGCTGAAGGAGGAAAAAAAATCAGCTCTCTAGGCTGCTCTCATAATCGATTTTCTGCCAATTAAAGGGCAAACGCATGCTGATGGGTTTTGAATTTTAAACTGTCTTCAGTTTTTTCATCTCTGAAGTGATTAGTAAAAGCACCATTTAGCCACTAATTTTGTAAGACATTTGGGATTTTCCACTCACAGTTCAGTCAAGCAGAAATATGAGTTCTGAACACCAGAACTCAAAGCCAAATTTCCGCTTCTGCAGTAGACCCAGCCCAACACTTTGTAAAAACAGAGTGAGAACACAAGTTATGGGCCACATTATTAGCCAGATTCTCATTCCCTTCTACACTCCATGTCTTGTTCAAAGTGGAAAACTCCCTTTGAAGTCACAAAGGCTCTGTGAAAGATAAGAGAAGTGGGAATGTAAGCGCCCCTATGTTCGAATAGAGTAGGTGATACATCACCCCTAGAAAGTCTACGTGGATACAACACAGTTCAAAACTCACAAGTGTCTTTACATTTACTACACAGTGAGGGCCCTTAAAGCTCTAGCAACACAGGCAAAAACACCACGTAGAAGAGAGTTGCCACAATTACTGAACATATATATTGACTATATTGGAATATACTAAAAACACACCGAAGGTACATTAGAACATCTTTGGTACACGTTTCCATATAATTTTATGTTTAACTTATTGGGGCCATATTAGAGATACATACCCAGTCTGATTAGACAGCTTCAGTTAAAACTTGAATTTAGAGAAACCAATTTTTAAGACTGCAACTATTTTAGACTGTCTTTGGTTCTGTAATAGGTTCGTTCACAGTCAAATCTAATAAAGATGTGAGGTGAATAGATAAAAATCAAGAGCTTTTAACCATGAGTTATGGGGGCAGGGGGTGAATGACAACTATATAGGTTACAATGATCAGTACGGAAACAGGTGTCACGATAATTTTGTGAAACAATGATTTGTGGATAAATGATTTTTGTTTCATATTATTTAATTTAAAAACCATAAGAAACTGAAATTGTAAATCTACCATTAAGCTCAATAGCTCTGTCACATTAAAAGGCATTCGCTAAACAAGTACTTTAAAGTCCAACACTTTCGATGCATTTGCATTCTTTTTTTGTATGTACAACTGGACATTTTGCCATGTAGCTTATTTCTCATATATTTTCAACATGTTTTCAGTTATTTTATTATCTTGTTTGTAGTATTCTTTTATTACATCCACAGCACACCACAACAACTTCTTTGTAACATGCCCTACAAACACGCGTCCTTGTGGTGCAAATGACAAGAGCTGAAAGGGAGCCCTGAACAATGACTGCCTTCCCACTGCCGTGTCCCCATCACCGACTTCATGTGCTCTGGTCAGCTTTCACCATTAGAAATGGAGAC